GCTGGCAAACAAGGAGACAACGTTTGTGTGCCAGTTCCACTTGTTGATCGAGGGAGAGGCGATCCTAGAAATATCCTTTTTGTCATAATTGACAGACGAGACGATAGCCGTAAGAGCTGGTTTGTATTCCAGAAATAAGTTCGATCTGTGCCCTGAGCGTCTTCTGAACACTGACGACATAAACCGCTGCGTTCGGCGGTGATTTGTCAATCCTCTTCAGGTGGACAAGGCTTCACAAGATGCAACTGTACTGGTGCCAAAAAGAGTAGTTTAAGGCATGTAAATGCCGCAAAGCAGGACTTCACTGTAACTCATCCTGTCACAGCAGCTTCAGTTGTTGTAACAAGTGACGACGTCGATGGATTTTAGTCTTAAGTATTTAACTGAAAACTGAAACAACAACAACTAGAATGGTGTCTGCCATTTAAAAAAATTAAATGCCTAGTTTTTAGATTGTGGAGCAGGCGCGTGTGTGTGTATGTGTGTGTGTATGTATGTGTGTGTGTGTGTGTGTGTGTGTGTGTGTGTGTGTGTGTGTGTGTGTGTGTGTGTGTGCAGATTGCTACACGCAAACCACGCACCCCGGACGTCTGTCAGGTTGAACGCGTGTGAGGCCGGGGCATTGACAATAATTCACACACCCCCACTTCTCACCATTTCCCATCTCCCCTTGCTCGAAATGTCAGTTGCCTTCGTGGGGTCATTGTTATATCGCTTTAGAGAGTAGAAAGATCTAAACACCGTTCAGAACAGGGAAGAGCTAACAAGGACTGTTCGTTTCCTGACAAGACCGGCAGAATCAGCCACATTGTGTTAGCTGGATTGTGGACACGACATTCATTGTTGATAATCATTTTCATTCAGTTGTAAGTAAACCAATATTATTATCAACATTCAAATAGCACTTTGGCGATTTGAAGGCGCTCAAATAGTCAATAGGTCACAGGGGCGGCTCGGTGGTCCTTGACCTTGACCTTGACCATCAATGATTTATTTATAGAGGCATCAGCCATCCATGTCCAGATGCTGTTTGAGCCTCTTTTTTCCTGTCTGCGGATTAATAATCTCTTTTGCCAATTTATTGGTTCCGCTTCTATGTACCCCGTATCTATGGTTCTCAACCTGGAAATCGC